AATGATCACTATATTTAATAATAACCATTGTGATTTCAAGATGACCTGGACAATTTTCTTCAGTTACACAAATACCTTTCATTTTTTGCCTACAATACGGAGTTTATAAAATAGCAGGTATAGTCTCTAATTCCTTCAACTGTCATTGATGTCACTAGGGCTGTCTTTGAATTGTGAAGCAGGAGAAGTTTCTCTTGTATCTTCTCATTCTCTGATCCCTTTGCTTCCCTGCCCTCTCAATACTCTTTCCCCTCTCAAATTTCTACCCTACCACTCTATACCACTTTCCAATCATCACTCTTTTTTGTGTATTCAAGTTTTACATAAATATTTTTTTTAAATACTAATAATACCTTGGTACCTGACCCTTTTGAGATAATTTATTAAAAATAATTCTAAAAAGTAGGGGAAAAAATGAACATCAAAACATTAAGTTATTTATTCCTGGAACATCTAATACACTTGCTCATAAGGCTAGGCCGGGTATGGTGGCAAGAAGTCTGTACAGAGTCAGAGATGAATTTACTTGAGAATAGAAAGGGGAGAGATTTTGCCATCACATTTATCTTCCTTTTGACTATTTATTTATTCTACTGCCAGGCACTCTTCTAGGATATGCTCATATAGAAGATTCTAGAAGCTGGGAGAGAAAGAACTAACCTAAATCCACCCCATATTCACTTTTTAGTGGGTTAACAAGAGATGTCTTGGAATTCACTGTAGTCAGCATGTGTTGGTAAACTCCCCAGCTTCAAGGTTCGCCTTCCCTATTCTAACCACACCTTGAATTGCCCATTAGTGGACATTGACCCCACCCCCAGCTCTACAGGTGAACCCTTAATTGAATTAAGCCCATTTCATTCTTTCTGGCCATGATGCCTGTTTAACGATGGACAAATAACCAAATTTCTTTGCTCTCTTAGAGAAGAAAACTCTCTACCACACAGAAACAAGGATTTGTAAATTGCCAACAGTTGTTGGCAGCCCTCTTGGAAACAGAAGGGGAAAACCTGCATGAGAGTTAAGCCAACACTAGGAAAGTGTATCCAAAACTGTACAAGGGGCTACAGAAACCAGCCTATGCCATTCCAATCCCATGCCCGATAACCCTTGCCTGGAGTTTGATCTCCCCTGGATTGTCCTGCTACATGACTCAGTAAGTTTTCTTTGATGTGTAAGATAATTAGAATCAGATTTTCTTAAACAGTTCTGTCAAGAACGTTCTCTAGGTAATACAGTATTTTTTGTATCAAGTGAAATAAATTCAATCAACTGGTATCCAAGGTCAACATTAGGCAGTAGGGAGAAATTGTACAAAGATTCATGTGCACAATTGCCGTCATTCATTTGCTCAGATCAAGTAAAAAGTTTAGACTCTAGTCTTTGGTCTACGAGAGAAGGTTGGGTAGTTGACATAAACATCCTCTCTTGCGTCATCCATGTGTTCATTGATAGAGATGGGACTTCTGTAGTTGTTGGCTGCCTAGACAGACAGATAGCAGAGGGTGTCAATAATTTACTGAAATTCAGCAGCTAATAAAGACACTCAAAACCTAATTCAATTCAACTATGATATAGGTCAAACTTCCATTACAAGTAATTTCATAAAACATCCTCTTTGTTATATGGATCTTCTGTTAGAAATTACATTCTCAATTTGCATGACTCTGAGTGAGATGCAACAGAACCTAATCTAGATTATCATTTTCTACATTGTCTTGTGAATTACCTGTTTTGAAGTAGAACTCTCTCTCCCAATGTTAGGCTATTTTGATAAGAACAATTATTTTCATTTTTTATAGGGAAAGTCTAGTATATTATATCCTCATAGTGTGTACCCATTAATGTCTGTTGAATGAATGTCTTAATAAATAAATATTTTTAAAGTACACAGTGTCCTATCTTAAAAACAAGCAACAAACAGCAAAAGAATCAAGTAGGTCTAATTTATCTACCTTTGACAGTCTAGCTTACTATCTGTTTTGAATCATCTTTCAAAATATCATTATTTACAAAAGCCTAAAAAGTTGGATACTAATG